CTTTTTTTATGCAAGGAGAAAATAACAACCAGAATAATAACAATAAAAAAGAAAGGGTTTTAGAGAATATACCCTCTATCAAGGTATGTAGGGGACTCCACCCCAAAAACGATCTTCCACAAGATCAATTTACTCAATTCTCATTCTCTTATCATTATCTGATTTGTTACAATGAGGGATTTTTTACCTTTAAATAAGAAAAAAATAAATAAATAAATAAACTCATAAAAAAATAATCTCAATAATCACCTTATCTCTTTCACATACCACTTATATCTCTTCCCTATTCTCTCTCTCACTTTCTTCTCTCTCTCACGTACCACCCTCCTTAATGCCCCTCATTACTTGTTACACTTTTTTAAAAGATAATTCCTAAGTAAAATCTACACCCATATACCTAACTTAATATAAGATATGCTTCAGAAATCCCATACCCACATTAATACAAGATAGACTTAAAAACCAACTCACATCAAATAAAAGACATACCTATCCTAAAAAACCTCACGCCACACTCTATTACTAACTAAAAATCACACACCAAAAACCCTTCCACCTAACCTAGCTTATCCAAGGGCAATTTTTATTCCTAAAATAAAAATTAAATCCCAATTTTATTTGCATCATTCTCCCCAGGTTGAGAGAAGCTCGACCTCGAACTTATCGAACTCAAATCTTTTAGGGGCCTTCTCAAAAGTTGGTGATGTAGTCCCACCATGCGCCTCAGCACTTTTTCTTCAACTTCTTTATTACGCCGATTCATCGAATGCTTCATACTTATCTCGAAGTAGAACACAGTGATTTCGGGCTTCGACTCACTTGTTGGATTTCGAATACTGCATGACACATATCTTCTTCTTCATATTTGATTTTCAAAATTCTTCTTTTTCTTTACTATTGACATTTGAATTTTCTTGCACATTGGCGTCACCTTTTGTATCGAGATCTGCCTCTTCATATTCTTCTTCCTCTTTTTCGATTGTAATCTACGAAATACATCTCGTAAACATTTTCTATGCTTTACTAATTCTCTTTACTAGATCTTCTTTGATTCTGTCAAATCTTTGATCGAAGCTCTCCATAACTAGATCAAGGATCTTAAGGTTCTGATACCACTTGATGATGGAAAAAATAAATCGAAATAATAAAAATAAACAAATAAAAAATGAAAACTCTTAAAAACACCTATAGGGGAAATTGAATAGTGTTTGGCCCCGCTACGGACATGCTATGTCTGTGGCAGTTTTGTCTTAAAAGCCACCACGGATCTACGGGAGCCGTTGCGGTTGCCCATGTTTTTTTGCATGAAAAAATACCGCAACGGACCTACTATGTCTGTTGCGGTACATAATAGGTCCTTTGTGGTACATAGTAGGTCCGTTGCGGTCTTTTAATCAATGGCGTCGGAAAAAATAGGATGGCACCGAGCCTATGGGCGAAAACACTATTCATTTTCGCCCATAGGCGATGCGTAGTGGCTTCCAATAAAAAAACTCATAAAAAAATAATCTCAATAATCTCCTTATCTCCTTCACATACCACCTATATCTTTTCCCTATTTTCTCTCTAATTTTCTTCTCTCTCTCACGTACCACCCTCCTTAATGCCCCTCATTACTTGTTACACTTTTCCAAAAGATAACTCCAAAGTACAATCTAAACCCATATACCTATCTTAATATAAGATAAGCTTCAAAAAACCCATACCCACATTAATACAAGATAAGACTTAAAAACCAATTCACATCAAATAAAAGATATACTTATCCTAAAAAAACTCACACCACATTCTATTTACTAACTAAAAATCACGCACCAAAAACCCTTCCACCTGACCTAACTTATCCAATGGCAATTTCTATTCCTAAAATTAAATTAAAATAAAATAAAATAAAAATTAAATCCCAATTTTATTTGCATCATTCTCCCCAGGTTGGGAGAAGCTCGACCTCGAGCTGATCGAACTCAAATATTTTAGGGGCCTTCTCAAAAGTTGGTGATGCAGTCCCACCATGCGCCTCGGCACTTTTTCTTCAATTTCTTTATTACGCAGATTCATCGAATGCTTCATGCTTATCTCAAAGTAGAACACAGTGATTTCAGGCTCTAACTCACTTGGTTGGATTTCAAATATTACATCACATATCTTCTTCTCCATATTTGATTTTCAAAATTTCTTCTTTTTCTTTACCATTGATATTCGAAATTTCTTGCACATCGGCGTCGCCTTTCGTATCGAGATCTACCTCTTCATATTCTTCTTCCTCTTGTTCCAATTGTAATCTATGAAATACATCTCGTAGACATTTTTCTACTACTTTGCTAATAATCTTTACTAGGTCTTCTTTGATTCTATCAAATCTGTGATTAAAGCTCTCCATAACTAGATCAGGGATCTTAGGGCTCTAATACCACTTGATGCAAGAAAAAATAAACCGGAATAATAAAAATAAACAAACAAAAAACTCATAAAAAAACAATCTCAATAATCGCTTATCTCTTTCACATACCACTTATATCTCTTCCCTATTTTCTCTCTCACGTGCCACCCTCCTTAATGCCCTTCATTACTTGTTACACTTTTCCAAAAGATAACTCCAAAGTAATATCTAAACCCATATACCTAACTTAATATAAGAAAAGCTTCAAAAACCCCATACCCACATTAATACAAGATAGACTTAAAAACCAACTCATATTAAATAAAAGATATACCTATGCTAAAAAAGCTCACACCACACTCTATTTACTAACTAAAAATCACACACCAAAAACCCTTCCACCTAACCTAACTTATCCAAGGGCAATTTGTATTCCTAAAATTAAAATAAAATAAAATAAAAATTAAAACCCAATTTTGTTAGCATCCGTTTTATAATTGTACCCAATAAATTTTGGGCACTTATATACCCTTGTTTTGTAATACAATATTTTTTAGTATGACTATCTTTGGTCATTAGGAAGGATATGACATCACCCACATAGAACATTAAATACCACTATTGTGCTCCATGTCGGCAATGTCACACCCCATGTAGATGATGTTGCACCCCTCCAAATGACCAAAAATACTCTTACTAAAAAAAAAGCTCCATGTACAAAACAAGGGTATACAAATGTCCAAAATTTATTGA